CCTAGCGCAGACACATATGGAAGTAATAACTCATGTGCCAAAGTGCCGGTGTGTGTGTCCGAAGAGGGCAACAGTGCTGTTTCTCTAGCACAAAAAGCAGGTTTGAATTCTGCTTTGTGTGAACAAGATGCTTTAACATATTTTACAGAGTCAGAATGTTAACAGCATGGCTGGTGTGTGCTACCGTGTAGTTTTGTTTTGTTCAGCCAAGGTAGATGATGCACGCATTTGCTCAAAAGCTTTTATGTTTATAAAGTTTTTAAGATGTTCAAGATCGAAATGGCTGGGTTTTTTGGTTTTTGGTTTTTTTTTTACTTTTCACACAGTTGACTGCGTACTGCTTATCTCCAGTATGCAACATTGCATAACACCTGTTGGTGTTATGGACACTGTATGAATTATGGATTTGCAGGATCCAGTTCAGGTAAGACCTACCCTCTCATCCCCACCCTGTTGTCTTGCACTGCTATCCTAAAATCCTAGTGTTCCCCCTGGACACAGTTTGCTGAAGTGTAAAGTAAGCAAAAAGGCTAGGATGTAGCGTTATTCATTGGCCTGTTGCAAGACTTGGTAAAACTCTTTCTTCTAAACTCTATCTCATGCCTCCACTGGAAAATCCTCTGTTTTTTGCAGTAGGTAACTCCAGTCTTCCTTCAGGCCTTCTCTTACAAATGGCAGCCTCAAGTTGATGACATTTCTCTTTTCCACTCCCAGGTGCTTTTAAATTCTTCCAGACTGTATATAATAAACAGTATCGGTGTCTGCAAAGGCTGTTCAAAAGAAGGTAGTTCCTAAATTTGAGCGCTTTTGCATAAATATCTTGGAGATGTCCTGCCTCTGTCAGCTTCCCACTGCTCTGCACACCACAGAAAAGCTGGTTGAGATGCAGCTGGAGTCTAGACTGTCTAGAATATAGCCACCTTTTTGCTTCCACCCCCAAAAAGTTACATGGCTAATTTATGGAGGGATTTAAGAAATTGTTTTTATCCACTAGCACCTGTTGAAATAAGCAATTCCCCTCAAACTGTAGCTGCTGATGAATTATTGGTATTGAGACCGTTTTCTGTAATGTTTCTTTTTAGAACTTTCTGCTTTCAAATTGCCAAGATTTGTGTGTTTATTTTTAGACGCCATGTTTGGGGCAAGGGCTCTGCTTTTTAATTGAACCATGAGTTTTCCTCGTCAATGATCAACATTACATATTCCACATCTTTTAAGATCTCTGAAGGAATTTAAACAAATGCTGTGAGGTCTGAGGCAGCTGCTGTTATGCAGGGCAGATATTGAGGGCATGCTAAGTTCATTCAAATACAGGTCACCACATGTCACCAAAAGTTTAAAACCATTCTGTTTTCAAAAGGTAGAATGTGATTAGGGCTGACTCCATCCTTAATGTTATTTAGGAAAAAAATACCTTTTCTGTTTAGCCAGTAGAAGAAAAACAGTAGACAGAGCCAGTGATAGCCATTTTTGCAAATATTTGTATTTATTTGGTTCAACATATGACAAAATATTTTTGGTAAGTTCGACCATGTGGTTAATTGGAACCTTTGAAGTGAAAGCAGACATTCAAACGCTAAGAGATTATGCCGAGCCTAAATTGGTTTGTGGTTTGTTTTTAGATGTTTGTCTGTAGTGTACTTACTTGTTATCTTCATGGTTTTTGCAATTGGGGAAAATCATTCAGAGGTCCAGATTTTGAAAGGTCGGAGGGGGAGAGCAGAGGAGCATAACTGCTGGGGGAGGCACTTTGCCAAGAGTAGACTCCAGTGAAGCATCTCCGCTTTCTCTGCAAAACATGGAAATTGTGAGGTGGCCGAGAAGAAGATGCAAAAGTCAGAAAGCTGAGCAGGGTGATTAGCTGGTACAAGGGCTTTTCATAGGAAAGCAGACCAGCCGAGACACAATGAAGTCATCTACTCTGCTCCACAGCCCCAAGGCCAGCTAAGCTCTACCTGTGTCATTCCTAGCAGGTGCTTTCCTGTTGTAAAGAGCTCCAGAGAAGCAGACCAGGCCAGTGCTCTCCTGCCCTCAAAGGTAAAGCTTGGGGATTTTTTTGTCTCACCTCGGTATCTCTTCTGCACCTTAAATCCATCGCCTCTCTTCACTTGTGACCACAGAGAACAGATTATTTTCTTCTCTCTGCAGTAACACTGATGGAAATGAAGACTGTTTCCATCATTTCAGTCTTTCTTTTCATCACTTTGGATTGTAGCCCTCTTGTTTCTAGTCTAGCTGTAGCTAAGTCAGTCTAAATAAAGAGCATGTTCCTTGAAATATGACACCCTGACCTGCTCACGGTACTCAGGTGCTGCCTTACGAGTGTGCACAGAGCTAGGATTACTGCTGCTGCTACACCGTCTGGGAGGAAAAGAAAAATGAAAAAGTGGCTAGAGATAATGCCATTGCCTACTGAGAGTCTCAGACATCTCTGCTGGCACAAGGGAAGTGATCTAGTCACTAGACTGTTTCCCCTTCTGCCCCGTCCCAGTTTACTGCAGAGAGGCCTAATTGCAGCAGGTAGGTTGGGGCAGCTCTGTTTCAGCTGAGTTGGATGTTTGGAGAAGCAAAGCCTTAGATTTTAGCACTGCAAATAATTGTGAAGTGTGTGCTGGTGCTGGAGTGGTTGTGTGGTTGGCTGCTTTTGCGGAATAAGTGAGGGACTGAGGTACGGCGAGCGCTCCAGAGTGGGCTCTCATGGCTGAGCTCTGGGAGTCTGGCTGCAGCCAGCTGAGGGCGTGCTCTTCTCAGCTGCCTCCCCATCCTGTCATTGCAAAAGGCAGTTTGGGCTACAACACTGGACTGTGAGTTGGGCTCCTTGGACATCAGGCACAGGGTCCCTTTTGTCACCTTTGCTGCAGGAGCAGTACCTGCAGTACCCATCAGCAGATTTGAGAGCTGATTGTGTGGAGAAAAATCATTTAATCTCAGGAGTTCGCAGATGTATCATACATGAACTGTAAGCGTTCAAAGTAAGATCTTCGAACTTCTCTGTGACTACAAGCCATGGCATTAAAATAACTGCACCAAGATACATCATTGGCACTCATCTATTAGACGTGGGGCCACCTTCGTGCCCTCAAGCCATCTTACCTATGTGTCTGGGCATACTTGATGTGCTGTTACTTGGTTCTTTCTAAGCCTACTTGCCTCCCCTCCCCACTCATTGCTTAGTGCTGTTGAGGCTTTCAAGATGAATTCTTAAATTAAATGAAGGACTATTTTATCTAGGTCTAAAAAGTGCTAAGTAAGTCCTGTGGGTTGCCTTGACAGTTCGGTAGTTCTAAAACTGCATCTTTACTGATGATATCGCTAACTTTAGATACTTCTGTACCAATTGAAGTACAAAATTGCACACGCTTGCTTCCCCCACCTTGGGCGTGTTGGTTTGCTGATAGTGAGCGTTGCTTAAAATTGTTGATTATAGCCAAGGTAGTATATGTTTGTAAAAAACTTTGACAAGCAGTCTAAATAATAAACATCTCCAGTGTGCAAAACCTGATCTTCTGTGGTTTGAGGAGGAGAAACAACAGAAAAAAAAAAAAAATCCAGTGGCTATCTCTTGTGAGCCATTGCTGTTTTTTTACTGAAGTGGAAATGAGGGTAGTTAGTCTTTAACAAAAGCTTCAAAATGTTAATTGGCCTTACCTAAAGTGGTTCCAGAGGAGGGGTACAAGTGATTAGCTTGCCTTTTGCTTCCCAAGAGTTGGGAAGTTTTTAGCATTAGAGACGTCATGATCCCCTGCTGGTTCTGCAGTCCTTCTGCACTTAGGCATGACATGACCTGACTTTTTTTTCCATTTTGAAAACAAACTCCTCTCTAGGTGTCTTCCAGATGTCATACAGGAAAGCACATCTCACTTTGGTCATTTAAAATTTTGGTCATCAGGTTTAAAAAAAAAGAAAAGAAGCAGCCATCAGCGTTTCCCCCCCCCCCAAAAAAAAAATTTGTAACTACACTTACAGCTGCATTAATGCTTATTTTGATGTGCAGTATTTGATTTACAGAATTTTTTTTTTTTTAAAACAACAGCACCTACACTAAGCCTTTGCAGGTGGCAGTCAGCCACAGTCTTTATGAAATGACTGTTTTTCCCAGCAGAGCAAGCTTTGGTCAGTACCTGGGGCACAGTTTGATTGAGCCGAATGGCTAATCCATGCTGTGGTTTTGCTCTCTGTCCTGCTGGCCGTGGCAGCAGGCTGTGGACCAGGTAACGCAGAGCAGGCGCTGCTCATGCCGGCCCTGCTGCAGCGGCGACACCGACCCTCGCTCTCAACAGACGGTAACAGAGAATGTTTGCAGGTGACTCTATAGGAATGTTCTCATAGCTAAATTTCAGTATGTTTTTATATTATTTGATTCTGGTTATTCTACTCCCTCATGGCCCTGAATAACATACAGTTGACTGCAGTTCAGTTAAAAGGCAAATTTTAACTTTGTTAACAGTTTCTGCATGCTGGTGTAGGTTTCAGCATATGCCTGTGTTATTGAACTGCTACATACCAGTTACCACGAGACAGTTAGTTAGTTAGTTAGTTATGTAAAACGCACTACATTCCTGAGGAAAGTCATATGACAAAAATATGTTGAGAGGAGTTTGATTTCCACTTTTTTCAGCTTTACACCAGAAATAATTCAATCCAGAATAATTGCTGGCAGTGGTAATATTCTGAACTGGAAGCATACATGTGGCATAAACTAGAAGTTACACAGTGGTTGTAGTGCCAGACCCTCCACAAAAGCTGTAGTGCTAACAGGGCTATCATCAGTAGTACTTTAAACAGCTAGAGAAGGGGATGCAGATACCGGTTTTAAGGCTATTTTTAAGCATGACTGCTAAAGTTATAATTTTGTCCTTAATCACTTCACACCTCCACATTTAGAGAGTTGATGACAAAAAAAAAAAAAAGAATAAAAACACATTTTCAACAGAAAAGTTACTTGGAAAATGATTGTGAATTTTTATTAGTACAGCTAAAAAGAAACACATCTGCTTGACTAGCTCCACTTGGAGCTACAGCTATGGCACACTTGAAAAAGAAACTGTAATCTTCATTATAACCATTATGGCAGCACACAGGGAGGGGCTTGATACACTAGAAGGATGAGTATGTTTGCTTATTTTATGTGCACATATAGAAAAAAAGCAGTATAAAAATACTCTTATAAAATTACAAGTTTCCTCTTTACATGGAATGTTGTCGCACACAAAATTGCAGGGAAGGAGAAAAACCCTACTGCTCTCTGCTAAAGCCATTTGGGATGGGGCTCAGTCTATAATTCCTTCAAACTGGTCTTAGACAGGGATTGGACGATAGTTTTGAGCAGGACTCCCCTCCCTTGTTTCTTTGGAGAGACTGCTTGGAAACTGGTGGCAGGCCAAACCCAATTTATTAAAATGAGGAATTACTTTACATCTGATCATGTGATAGTGCCTATAGCTACATGAAATGATTATATGTTCTTCAGTGCTTTACTGTTTTCAAAGCTTCTAACAAACAACTTCACTTGGTGGAGCGATATCAGGCTGGGCTGTTCATTTCACAACACCACCTTTTTGTCTTGATCTCTGGAAAATGGACCTTGCTGAAATCCTCGCCTGTCAGCGTTGCAGCGGACTGTGGGGCAGGCTGGCTCTGGCACTCCCCAGGCCATGTTCTCAGGTGGCTCTTGGCCACAGGCCCCAGAGAAAAGCTAAAGGGGGGACTGAACACTGCAAGTTCCATACATTAAGGCAAGGGTATCAGTAACCCTCACTGCAAAAACATGGTCACAGCTGCATTCTCTCAGTTGTAGCTGGGGGAAGAAGAACAGATGTATGTTACAGAGAAAACAAATTCCCTAGTACCAAAAAAAAAAAAAAAAAAAAAGCACTAGCAAAGCATTAGGTTTTCTTTGTGAGTATGAAACAGTGATACAATAGTCACATAAATAGAGTTTCAGAACCCATAACATAAATATTGAATATTTATTACTAATGCTCTGTAGAGCACGGTCTAATATGTCTAACATCAGGTGTGTTAAAGGAGGAGATACGGAACTTAAGAGGTAAACCTTTCACTAAAGTCTAAAAGTCAGACTAAACACTGCAAGTCAGAACAATGTAAATTAACTGTAATGTGATTAATAGTACCTGAAATGTCCTTGGCTGTCTTAATGCATGTTTCTACATATGGCAGTCCTGGTATTGACAAGGTCCTGCCACGTTGTCATGGGGGCATGCCAGAGGTAGCAGAGAGGGTCATTTTATTGTATGCCTCAGGCTGGATTCACAGCTTACTAGGCAAAGCACTGAAAACACCCAAGTTAGTTAGTTATAGCTGTTCTGCTCCCCAGTGAAATTCATGTTATAATCCTCAGCTTCCTGACCCAGGTTTTCAAAAGCAAGGAGGTGTGCAGAAGTCATCTACAGTAGTTGGTAAGAAACACCTCCTCTCTGCCAGGCTCTACTGGGATTTTTTTTTTTTTTTTAATCATCTGTAGCCTCTCTTGGAGTCAAGGCTTAGCTTTTTATCCACTGCACAAAGCACTCTGCCTTGTCCATCAGGCTAGCAAACATTTGATCACGGGTCTAAGTCGTTGCTGATGAAGCTATTGTATTTTATTTCACATATTTATAATATTAATTTTGAGTAGGACGTAGTAACTCCAAGTCTTATTCAGCTTTTTCTTTTTCTCTCCAATGATTGATTGTTTAATCTTGCCAAGCAAAATGAAACTTCTAGTGCAAGATACTAGAAAAGACCTAGCCAAAACACTTAGCTTCCCAGTATTTAAAGTACTGCTCTGAGACATCTGAGTTCAAGTGTTCGCTCAGAACACTTTCTTTTTGTGTTTAAAAAGAAAAAAAAGAAAATTACATTTTCCATAGCTCACCAGCTGCTCAAACTGGCTCACTGTTAGAGGTTTAGCGATTGTCAATGCAAAATAAGGTTTAAAAAAAAATGCCAACAGGGCACAGATTTGATAAATGTGCTGATCTGTGTACTGTTGTCAAGACATGGGCATTTTCAGGCACACTGCAACACAGAAGTCTCACACTTGACAGGTAGAAACCATCAAAAACGCTGAACAACTAAATGTTGAACTCGGGTGCCTCAAGTTACGCTGCCCTGCCACCCAGCACCCTGCTGGCTCTATGAACAGGAGCAGTGGAGTCAGGGCAGTACATGGTTAGACCCATGCTAATTAGCCACCCTGAAAAAGAATACGTTAGCTCGGGCACACCAGCAGCATGTGGCTGGCACCTTGCGAGACCTGCGCCTGTATTCCTGTGCGCCCTGTGCCACATGTGTGCACGAGCTCAGCCATCTCCAGCACCCTCCAGTGCTTGTGCCGCCATGCCTGGCATTGCCCTTGTGACTATACAGCCCGTCACTGTCCTCTGAATGCACGGAGTTCATTCCTCATGACAACTGCTGCGTGAAATTGCATGTGCTACTGACTTAATAGTATTAAAATAGGTTGTTTTATAGTTTTACTAGCCTGTGCTACTGCTTAGTTTGAATAACTGAAAGGCAGAAAGTGTCTGATGTGTTTCTTTTAAACCTTTTGTTGTGTTTGGAATAGCAACACAACACAGCTAAAAGAAAAGTCAAAAAGGACTATTAGTTCTACCCCAATCTATATTCGCCAGCAGGAGGGTTTACCATTAACATACACTGCGTATTCCATAGCTCCACAGCAAGAACAGATAACAGCTTGAAACTCCTTCTCCTAGAGTTTCTGGACTGCAAAATCTTCAGGGTTGAAACGTCGATTCCTTTTTCCTTTTGTCTGTCAACACAGTTCTTAACATCTGGAGCTAGTTTAGCAGAAAGGTGTGGATGTATATTTGTCTTTCAATCCACTCAATAAAATGTGACACATTGCTGTAAACTCCAGGTCCCAAAACCTTGGAAAAGCAGACAGAGCCCCAAGATGTTAAACCAAACAAAGTCCAGCGCCCTGCAGGTTGCTCACACACAAGTGGTCCTCCACTGTCACCCTGCAACATGAAAGGAAAAACACAGTCTATAGGGGCTGCACATAGCCAACAGTCATATGGTTAAAGCTATGTCTCAATTTCTAGAGAGGTTTGCTTTTCGTAAGTAACTCAGCTGTAAAAACTGGCAGCACAGCTAAACTACATAGCAATATAAAGCGTTACCAGTATTTATTCCATTACATTTGTACAAAAAAAAAAAAAAGAAGCTGTACAATGCCCATACTAATGAAAAAAATATATAACTCATATATATGAACCTAAGAATCCTCAAACAGCACTTCATAATCATAAACTGAAGTTGATTACACCAATAACAACAGCTGTTGGGTTAAAATATGTAACCAGACCATACTATCATTTCTACAGAAGATGAAGTGTGCTATACATAGTAAGTACCATACTATAGATTTCTAAAAGCAATTGTTGCTGTGAGTTTCTTCTTAGAGAGTGTCCTACCATGCAAGAGTCCACAGTGCCAGACTCATAGCCAGCACATAACATCCTGCTGGTGATGGTTTTCATGTCAAAGTATGACTGGCATTGTTCTAAGGAAATGATGCGAACTTCTCCTTCTTGAAGCTTAAAAGGCACTAAAAAAACAGAATTAAGCATTAAACTACACACAAGCAGACAAGTAGTTATAATGTCTCTTTGAGCTAGGATAAATATTTCCATTAAAACAGATTTGAAATATTACTTAAATGTAAGGAGAGAAGTATTCCCATTTAGCACAAAACTCAGATGAAAGCAGACTTTTTTTTGCACTGCCTCATTGCGGGATTCAGGATTCTTGCGCTCCCAAGTTAGAGGTGTATATGTTGCATTCTGGAAAAGGACCAAGCACATGAGGCAGTGTCACACTTCCACTTTATTCCACATTGGCACTGAGAGATTGAGGAGAGAGAGCACCTTTATATGATACATTATTACTTTTAAGATGGGGGCAGTATTGGACAGAAAACAGTAATGCAAGGGAGGGGGAGGAAAGGTTTGAGCCATTTGTTCAGTGGCAGAATCACTCCGTTTTCCAGGTATCTATCTCCCATATTCACACTTGGTATAATCACCGGCTGTTTTGAGTTACAGTATGGGTAAGTTTGACCCAGAGAGTGCATGAGGAAATCAGAATTCAAAGGTATTGAAATTATTTTAGAGCGTTCAGGAGCCCATAAAGGGCTTCCTCCTACTGAAAACAGTTGACCTAGCTCAAATTCACAGGGAAGCTGTTAAACCTTGAGCATGAAGTACTAAACCTTATGTAGCCATGATGAATTTTACTGCTTTATAACGTAAAAACTTTGAAAGCATTTCCACAACCACATTAGAGAGCAAAGCGCTTTTTCCATTGACCAGTGGTACAAAAACATTCTGTTATTTGTTCTGCCATTACATAAAAGCTAGTCTTAGATGGGTAGAGCTGCTAGTAAACAGACTGTCCCTCCCAGGTACAGTTTAATTCTGTGTTTAGGAATGCAGAACATGAATTTTCAGTTATAAATGGAACAATTTGTTCATTATTGCCACAGGTGTGACCTGGCTGCTAGAGGTGAAATGCCACTACTGAAAGGAAAATTTCTTTCTCCAGTGTACAGAATTACACCTTTCTCTAGTAATTACTATACAGAGAAGAGAGAAGCACAGAGGACTGAATGTAACCAAGCCAGGATATTTTTGCATATGAGGTATGCAGGCTCATTCTGTCAAAGCAAAGATTTGCATAACATAGCTGTTATTGTCACGGGACCCAAGGATTACAGTGGCTACAGAACAAAAAAAAAAAAACAAAAACCCACAATAATGTTTCTGTTCAGCGAAACAAAAACAAAACTTGTGATGATGCCAGGATGGAATAAATCACATCACAAGCCCAAAGTGTGACACAGAGCCTTGGTTTAAGAAAATCTTCTTTCAGCTTGTATGCCAGTACTTTCAGTGCCTTCTTCCACTACCTTCTGCTTTCACTGAACTAAGACTATTACCCCCTCCCCAAATTGGCAATTTGATATCTTCTCACAGCTCTGAACACAGCCTAAAAGAGTAAAATGATAACTATTTCAGGCGACTTTCTTGGTAGTAGTTCCTAACTTCTCAGCATTTTTGAATAATCAAACCACTTAACCTAGACGTGAATTTAGGAGCCTAAATTTAGGCTACTGATTTAAAAAAGCTAGGCTCTGGTCATAGCTAGATACCTTCATGCGTAGTTACAGTTCCTTAGTATTCAATAAGATCCAGAAATAATATAAGTGGATAAAGCTTTGTAATAGGATCACTTATTTGATTAAGTCAGTAGAATTTCCAAGAATCCCAAAAGCATTCATCTTACTTTTGTTGCCCATGTGTCCCCAGCCTGTGATGTAGCAGTAGGTATCTGGCTGAACCAACTGGTCTTTGTTGGGTAAACAGACAGGTCGCACATAACTTGTCTCATTGATATCTTCATGTAGTTCTACAATGCTGATATCATAGTCTACTACTGCTCTGTTGTAGCGTGGATGCAGGATAATGGTCTTCACTAGTCGAGTCTGCATGAAGCTTGATGGATGATCCAGATTGCTTATACCAAACACTACTTTCCAAACAGCTACATTTTCTCTCCTTTGTTAAAAAAAAGAAAAAAAGAAAAAAAGAAAGAAAGAAAAGGAAATTTTAATTGAGATAGTAAATGAAAATACATAACTGAGAATTTTTGTCTTCCTGACTTTCTGTACGTTGCACTTCACAAAACATTGCACGTACAAATACTACAAGAAAAACAAATACTTTATGTATCATATTTAGGATATATATGTAGGGCTTTCCATTTCCTTCCTGCTTGCTACCAAATGAATTCAAGTTCGGACCCTCAAAAGGCATGTAACCACCTACTTGCTGTACTAAATGCCAAAGGTTATCAAAATCATCCTGTGGATCCTGCCCAAGTACTAGGTGCTCACGTGCTCACTGGTGGGCATATACAAAGTTCTCAGGGAATTACACTGTTGTTCAGTAACATGCTGCTGACAGCAGTAACTCAAGCTGAAGTCCCAAATAAGTCTCAAAGAAGCAGTTTAATCATGAAAATTAAATCTTTTATGCTAGCCCTGGGAAAAGGCCCTTCTTACTTATTGGGCCCCCAGTCTGTGACAAGCACACTCTTTATGCCTAAGATCAAAGGTTACTTTGACTCTTACACAAAATTGTTTAGCCTCTTTTTTTTTTTTTTTTTGGTAAACATCCATGAATACAAAAATGATGGCTATGGTTCAAATGGGAAGACTGAATTAGCATCAGTTGAGCCATGTGAGAAAAACATGGACTTCATGAAGGGCTTGGAGAGTATCATCTCTTGATCATACCTGGTAGCAAGAAGTCACAGGATCCTAGTTAGTCTGTGATTCTAAAAACCCTCAAAAAAACCCTCAGCATTTTCACAACTGATTGAAGATAGTGCAACTAAACACTTGCAGAGACTAAAGCTTAATGAAAACAGGCAAAAACAGCTTTTTTGGAAAGTAATCAACAGAATTGTGGTTTCTATAATTTGTAAAGAGCTTTGGTTGCTAAATAAAAGCTATTTTGATTTTAAAATTACATGAAAATTGCAGTATTTCAGACTGTAATGATCTTTTTACTCTCATGCTCAGTTTGTGAACAATTTTCCCATAATGTGTCAGGATTACCTGCTAAGAATGTTCATATCCTATCATGTTTATGAACATTATAAAAAAAAAAGCATTGCTCTGAGAAATAAGAAGTTACAGCTGGAATGTATTATCATACAATGAGGAAAAATAATGTCTTGGATGCTTTTATGTAATGCATTTCAAACTACTCTGGACAAAACACAGGGGACTACGCTGATGAAATTAGCCATGGACACCATGGTTAACGTAGCTTTTTCCATTTATAACCTCCACAAGTATTCATGGCCATTTGCATTAATATTTTCTCCTGTGCTACTGATACATGGTCCTCGTGTTTGGGACCCCAAACTTCACAAAATACTTTTGTCTAATGCACCAGAGCACTTATAAAATATTAAAAATTGTTAGCTTATCTAGCTTGGTTTGGTAGATTTAGAAATATTTTGTATCGAGAAAACTTAGTAGTTTTAAACTGCAGTGTATAATGCAACATTATAGTAACCCACTCTGTAACACGTATGAGATCAACAGCAGACAATGAATGAGCTTGCTGCTTATGTAAGACATTATACTACTGAAGAGTGTAAAGATGTCAGGCCCCTGGGAACACAGCCTCTATCTCATCAGAGAGGCAGAAGAGAATTTCATACAACTCCTCAGTACATATTAAACCAAGATACCTTAGTATTTAAAAAACTTTTTGTCATTTTCTTCTGTAAGGCATTTAGAATACAAATGTGAAAGAGACCTCCTCAATATACTACTCTAAGCTTACATTGATATTATGTAGCCCTGTATCAGAGGTAAAGGAACAGCTCTAAAATGTAGTAGTGGTCTTTCTGCATTTGACAGAATGGGAGAATTTTTACTTCATAAATCTGACAGCTTCATTTTTCACTAATGAGAGAAATCTCTTACACATCAAATTCAGCAGCAGCCTAATATTTATGCAGGATCACCTGTAAATCCCACCCTTTAATTTAGAGCACCAGAAAAAGTTCTTCCAAAGGTAAATAAATATTCCAGAAACTATTTAGCTGTACTTAAAAACACATTAGAAAGAAGAGGTCCTCTTTAGGGAGGTCCTTGTGCAGGACCCAAAATCTGATAAATAAAATGCTCTTGTTTGCATTTTTATTCCGGTTTAATATTCTGTTAGTTTAGAAGGAAAGTTATTTAGGTTTGTCTTTGAAGTTTCTATTTTTTTTTCCCTCCTGTCTCAGTGGAATCAGTTCCTCTCAAACATCCTTAGGGCTTGATACGATCAAGAGTTTCTGATACCGATTTTGATAGTCAGAACTGAGGTCTCTCTGACATTACTTTCTCTAACATTTCCATAAATAGCCTTGCACTAAGATATTCATGCTATCGCTGACTTGTCTTCTGGCCTGGAGACAAGATCCAGAGACTGCCTCTGCTGCAAGGTACACTGAGAGCCAGGAAAAAAAAACATAACAACCAAAAATCCTACCCCCTACCCTCACCCCCCAAACTCAAATGCTGGAGAAATCAGTGTTCCAGAAATGAAAAAGATAGATAGAATTGAAATTATTCCTCAAAAAAGGAATGATTGAAGTTATAAAGAAATAGTCAAGATGAAACTGAAGTACCATCTTCTTTCATGCTTACCACAGAATTTCTAGTGGCTTAAACAGGAAGAAAAGGTGTTTAGTCCAAAATTTCCAATGAGCAAGTACCATCTGTGAACAGGATTAAGCACTGGTGACAACCACCTAGCAAAAAAGTACTTGCCAACTACATCAGAAAAATACACTTTGATTATCTTTAGAAACCCAATGGGAAAACTCTGGTGCAAGACAAAACAAGTAAGATAATAAGCTTCATTCCAAAATTTGTGTTTCATTAAAAAGACATGGTGGTTAGCACTGAAAAGCTGACAATGATTAAGACAGTTCCTAAGAGACATGCAAAATTCCCCTCCAGACAGTCCACCCACCACAGGACCTCAGATACCATGACTCAGTGAGTAGTGGTTAGTACTGACTTTTTAAATGATTGACAATTGTAATAAAGAACTGGCCAGTTAGTCTGTAATTAGAAAAGGCAGTGAACTTCAGCATGTCAGTTACACTGTGAGCAAATACTCATTTTTTATTTTTAATGACCACAACATTTTGTCCGGGGTCATTTCTATGCTGACTTCCAGATTGTTTTCTTTAATCTATGGCATTTGTATGAGAGTTACAGGATTAGAGAAGATTAGTCTTTTGCATATTTTTTTCCTGAATTTCCTACTGAAAGTCAAATCTGCTTGTTTTACCTCTCATTAGCAGTAGATACCAGCAATGAATAATAAAGCATGTCAGAACCTCAGCTGACGCTGTTTTATACCATTCACTTTCCCTTTTAGTCTCCAAAAACAGGCCTCCGTGATTTGCCATTCTATGAATGTCATCACCTGCCACCAATGTGTCTAGTGGAGGACTTGGTAATTTTCATGTGCAAGTTATATCCAATTTGTATACAAGCAGTAAAACTGTCTTAGCCCTTCTCACCCTTCAAAGCAATGTGCTACTGTCAAGACCCATCTTGTTGCAATCAAAACACAGCCACATATGTGTCCACTTGGCTCACTCTGCAGAGAGCACTGCCATGGCCATCGGCCTGGGCGACTGGTCCTGCCACCAAGGATCCTCTTGTTCATGCGAGCGGCTGGGCGACGGCCACAATCTAGTGAGGACCAGACACAGAAGGGATTTACTTTCTACCATGAACACAGAGTGTACAGGATGTTCTGGAAGAAACCTGGGTACAGAACAATACTAACAGAGTCGTTAAATTACACTGAACAATACAATAAACAAAATCATCAATGTTCACACATTAATATCAGGCACTTTGAGCCGTTTTAGTCCTTCCTTTACATCAAAGCATTCGCTCTCCTGAGATTAATTTTGATGGCTCAGCCTAGACAAATTAAACTATGAATCAAATTAACGGGAGGGAAGTTGGCCTTTGTTTATCTAAACAACAGAGCTACCCAGCAACCCTTGAGAAGGCGTCTTGGTTTTGTTGCATTGTGTTTCTGTCAGCTACCAACATGTTTGGGCTACTTTGTACTATACATAAGAACTGCCTCTGCAAAATTAGCTCAGCAATAAAAAGCCTTTGCTTAAGGCCAGGCCTGAGACAAATGTAACACTGTTTACTTATCTGCAAGACACAAACTTGCTTTGTTCATGGAAATCACCAAGGGAAATATTTGAAGATACTCTAGCACTCTACCCATTCTACTTTATATACTGCTCCCCTTGGGAATTGTCTCAGAGTCCTATCTGCCAGAGAATTAGTATTTTAAATATAGTTAGCCCTTCACTTTTGGTTTACTTTACATTCTGGATTTGTAAAGTGACAGACTGTTATTATTTATCCTCAGTCTGAGGATAAATATTATCCTATTATTTATCCTATTATTTATACTCAGTCTGTTTTAGAGAATGAATGAACACCATCAGTTTCTGCAATCAGCCTGCCAAGGGAGGATTCCTACTATTGTGTATACATGTGAGAGTTTAGTGGGGAAGAAATAAATCGGAGAAATGGTGATTTGTAATTTCTAATTCTCACTGTGTTCCCTCAGGTAACCTCAGAGGACATGCGGTTTTAAGTGTACTTAAAGCAACATAAGTTAGGAGCATTCCTTTAACAGGCTCCTATGAGGTGGGTTTTTTTGGTAAAGGCAGTAAATATGATTAGATTTGATTAGATTCTCAAATTTAGGTAACACTTTGTGATTACTCTTCCCAGTGTCGCGCTAATTTGTATTTTTAAGTGTTCTTCAGCAACGCTATCCTTGTTTGTAGAACATGACTTCATACAAGATGAAGAATTTCTATACTTTCAAACCACTTAAATTTACACAGTCTGCTATGCCCACAAATTTATATGTAGCTTTCTCCTTTAGGTTCCTCTTTCCCCTGAGAT